GTTCAAGATGCACGATAACAAAAATTCAGACAAAACATGTATATTGATTACTTGATCACTGATTTCTTCAAAAATCAATACACTATACAGGTCAACTATACAAATCAAGAACGCTGCAGTTATACTACGATTTGGACAAAGCGATGTTAGCAACCACCTGGGCCACCAATATTTGTTTTCTGTTCTCTGTGTGTTATCGTCAACTCGTCATTCGTCCTCTATGCCTGTGTCATGTGTGTATTCCGATCTTGTATCTCTGGTAAGTAAGTGTCCCTGATTCATTGCCATCGACGCATTCTTTCTTAAATGTTTCGAATTCGTTCCCTGTCTGAGTTTATATCCTAGGAGCTGTTGCACCTAAGCCACAACCACCCTTGCTCAATCGATGTTATCGATTTGACTGATAGCATTACACTAGGTAGACCTAAGACAGTTAGGAATGATGTAAAAGTTTCAGCTCAAACAGATAAGTCATTCCGCAGATATAGACCATATATGTTGGAGGAGGTAGCTCACATTCGGAGTACCTTCAAGTGCAATACTTGTCAGTAAAGGATGAGGGTGGGTAAGGCCATTTTGCAGCCCTTCTCATAATCCATTTACTTCTATCAAGTTCGAATGAGAGATGGTTCCTGATCATGTTTTTTTAGATTTATTTCCTAAAAATCTGCATTGACCATTTTCGTGCCTTAGGTTCCCCACAGATATCATGAAAACAACTAGACCCCGCTGTAGATTTAGGAGTGCTAATTGCGAATATCATAACGAGAGCTTACAAAACTCTTTTGGTTTTTGAAATAGCACTGGCCGCTCTATGAGACCTATTGTTCCTTGTTGGGTTGCCCATAGAATTAGTGCTTGATAAAAATTATCGAAAAATATCTTATCTTACTCAGAATTTTGAGCACTTCACGAATTTGAACTTTTTACGGCGCAAAAATGTGACTTATAGAGAAAAAATGTCGATTCCGGGACTAAAATTGACTCTGTATCGAATATCGATGTTCTCATGTATAGAATTTCCCATGAAAGAAGGCTTGCTGCAAAGCACAATTTGGTCCACAAGAGTCATTTTTTCCAGCTCTATCTAATAGTGCTCTCAAAAAGAAGCAAAAGTTGTCCAACAAAGTCAAAAATTCCAAAAATGATCCATTTTGGTCATTTTTGAGGGGTTTTGCCTACATATGGACGGGTTTCAGTAAGAAGCAGAGTATGCCGCAACGTCAAACTGTCCCCATAAGCGTAAATTTTCAAGCTCTATCTAATGATGCTCTCAAAAATAAAGAAAAAGTTGTGCAACAGGATTAAAAATTCAAAAAATTTGCTATAACAGCAAAATATCGTGAATATGGGTTCATATTTTGAGGTTTTCACTATAAAAACTCCGATTTCAAATGAAATAAACGTCATATTCAGAACCAGTGCAAAAGTCTACATCGAATAGGATACTTAATATTTAAAAACTGCTTCGTCGAATTTTGGTGCCTATCCCCCTTACTATTATTTTTCCATAAAGGAGTCTGTGGTCCCCCTCAGGGTGAAATCGACGATTTTTTTAAAATATTAGATATTCTATTCTATGTAGATTTTTGCACTGATTCTGAACATGACGTTTATTTTATTTGAAATCGGAGTTTTTATAGTGAAAATCCCAAAATATGAACCCATATTCACGATATTTTGTTGTTATGGCGATTTTTGGAATTTATGATCCTGTTGCATAACTTTTTCTTTATTTTTGTGAGCGTCATGAGATAGATCTTGAAAAGTTACCCGTATGGAAAGAGTTTGACGTTGCAGCAAACCTTGCTTTTTACTGAAATCAGGGGTGGCAAATTTCAAATTGGTAAACATTTTGAAATCTGCGCGTCAAAATTATTTAAAATTTCAATTCCTCAGAAATTTTCAAAATTTTCAAAATTGACTGACGGTCTCGAATAGATTGAGCAGGAATCAGACTTTACTCACACTATAATTTCTAAGATATTACCAGAACAGCAGAAATCAGAAATCTGCTCACACTGTATGCTTCTAAGATGTTATCAGAAGTGAGAAATCATGAAGGCACAACCCTATGAGAGGTACCGGATGAGGGTGAGGACACAACTCTATGTTAAGGGCGCAACCCTCTGACGGGGATGGCAGGATAAGGATCGAGGCGCAATCCTTTAATGAGGGCGACAGAGTGAGGTTGAAGGCATAACCATTTAGGAAAGCAACAGGATGAGAAGGAAGCGGCAATCTTTGAAGAGAGAAGAAGGCGTTTACTACTCTTTTTGTAATATGTCTATACCTGTATGCCGCTATACTTCTAAATCTCTTTAGCTCTAGACATTTATGGGTATTATCTATATCGTTCTCTATTTTTGATTTTTCCGCAAACTCAAATTCCCTATCGACTCCTTGTGTGAGTAAATTTCTGATTTTTGATGCCTGACAACATCTTAGAAATTTTCAGTATGAGTAAATTTATATTTCTGCTTTTCTAATCGTTTTCATTGATTTCTTCCTCAACAATCAGAAATCAGAAATTTAGTCAAAGCTGGTAATAATTTGAATTTTGTCACAACCTCATAAGTCACATTTTTGCGCCGTAAAAAGTTCGAATTCATGAAGAGCTCAAAATTCTGAGTAAGATAAGATATTTTTCGATAAATTTTATCAAGCACTAATTCTATGGGCAACCCAACCAGGAACAATAGGTCTCATAGAGTAGCCAGTGCTATTTCAAAGACTAGTGTAAGCGTTGAGAAATTGGAAACAGCGCCGCCTTTTTTATATAGTTGATCTTGAGTAGACATGCACCAGCTCCAGTCGCAAGCCTGGTAATAGTCGTGACTGTAATCCAGTCGTGACTAGCTTACAGTTATAACTATTACCAAACAGATTTCTTCGCTAGTCCGATTGATACAAATCGAACTAGTGTCAAAGTCCAAGTGAAACATAACCGATCTGTGCTGATGCATGTCTACGCGTTGAGACACTAATTTTAGATTTTAGAAAGAAAACCGTGTGGTGCAATTCTCACTAGTTCTTGTAGACGTTGCTGTAGAAGTCTTTGTTGTCGTTCGTATTGTAGTAGAACTTTCTATAATCAAAGGGTATAGAATACTCAAATCTTCTCAAGACATGTTCAAACTTCTTACTGCTAGAAGTTGTTGTTGTACTGGTCGGGCGAGCTGAAGAAGAACAACAAATGTAAAAGTTTAGGTTCACGGAAAGTAAAAATATGTATTTACTTGTCATTACTGTCGCGTTTGTAACCAAAGCTAAACAAGAAAGCACATACGTGCTAAGTTAACGTTAATGTCTGGCATCAAACTACATTTGGCCTACTTCTTAGTGTAGTATTTGTCCCTCGAACCATTGTAGTAGTATTAGGTCTGATAGTAATACCTGTAGTAGTTAATTTCGTTGTCATGATCGAGCCTTGCAATAACAACAACAGAAAAATCTTCGTTTTATTAAAATTCACGTAATAATGAAAACTGTTATTGTTTATACTGACTGGTTGAATTTCGAAGGGCTGTTGCATTGGCTACAGAAAAAAGACACATACAAATAAAACAGCGTTTGTCAATGAATAGCCATTATTTACTTACTCCATATTGCTGCTGTTGAAGTGTTTAGGTTAAAACGAGCTGATGTTGCTAGTAGCATAGACACAGAAATATACATTAATACAAAATATTATAGAAATTCTTACTTGTAGTCAATGCTGATAAGGTTGGACTCGTTGTTACATCTGAAAAAGTAAAACAAAATCCATTTGCTCCTTGTTCTTCATTGTAAAAGAGCAAATTGAGCCTTACTAGTAACTGTTGAAGTCAGAATTGTTATTCGATCTAACGAGGGAACCTCACCAACTGATACCCTCTGTTTGAGCTCATATTTTGCTCATTGGCAGGGCTCCTAGTGCAGATAAAAACCTCAAAATGGCTCGTGCTCTTAGGCCTTTCTTCTCGAGTTATGGTCATTTTACTGAATTTTGAGCCTTACACAGGGTATTATAAAAAAGACTGTAACAAGGAACTTCCACCTGAAAAATTTCCCAATAATAGATATCATGGTCCTTATTATATTCTGAACGTTTCAGCTTAAACGAATGCTCCTCTTCCGAGATAATACGTTTGCAAAAATCACTACTTTCTCACACAAGTTCCAAAAATAGTCCATTTTTGAGGTATCCCATATCTTAAGAAAAACCAGGGCTGTACCGCTCACGCTCATGAGCGCTCATATGAGCGTGAGCGTTTTTTCGCTGACGCTCATGCTCACGTGAGGGATGGTCGCTCACGTTCATATGAGCGCACATGAGCGCGAGCGGCACAGCCCTACTGATATGAGCGTGAGCGATCATTCATCACGTGAGCATGAGCGTGAGCGGCACAGCCCTACTCATATGAGCGTGAGCGACCATTCATCATGTGAGCATGAGCGTGAGCGAAAAAGCGCTCACGCTCATATCAGCGCTCATGAGCGTGAGTGGTACAGCCCTACGCTCATGCTGTGGTGAGGGATGGTCGCTCACGCTCATATGAGTAGAGCTGTGTCGCTCACGATCATGTGCGTTCATATGAACGTGAGCGACGACCCCTCACGTGAGCATGAGCGTCAGCGAAAAAACGCTCACGCTCATATGAGCGCTCATGAGCGTGAGCGGTACAGCCCTAAGAAAAACTCATCCGTTTAAGCTGAAACTTTCAGGATATAATAAGGACCATGATGTCTATAATTGGGAAATTTTTCAGGTCGAAATTCCGTGTTACAGTTTTTTTCATAATGCCCTGTGAAAGGCTGGAAACTCAGTAAGATGACCATAACTAGAGAAGAAAGGCCTAAGAGCACGAACCATTTTGAGGTTTTTATCTGTACTATGAGCCCTGCTAATGAGCAAAATATGAGCTCAAACAGAGGGTATCAGTTGGTGAGGCTCCCTCGTAAGACAAAAAATTATGTTTTTGATAAAAAGTTCGTCTTATTGTGTAATCGTTGTATTCTTACGCACTTGGAGGACATATTTGAATATTAGCCAATGCCATTGGATAACAAACAGGTTTTTGACATCGTGTACTGTTAACACAAATTGTTTGTGTGATGGAACATGTAATATTGTCTGAATTACATCGAACCATTGAACTGCAGGGAAGAGCGGCAATAGCACAAATCCCCGAGATACTTCCATTAACAGTATTAGTTAATGAAAAACATTCACAATCGAGATTCGAAGAACACGGCGTAGACGATGATTTACAAACAGTTGAATTGCATGTCGCCAGGGATAGATTGGGTGATGGTGTTGTTGATTGAGCTATGGCACGGCGCGAATCAAAAAGTAAAAGCATTTCTTCAAAAGGTAACGTAACACCTTACCTGTTGTTTGAAGTTGACCATGGCATAGACTTCGAAAGGAAATTAAAGAAATTGTCTAGTTGAATTCTATTAAAACACATTGATCACTCACTTTGCCGTCAACAGAACATATATCAAAAACATTAGACGTAATTGAATTTCTTTCGTTTTCTTTCTGTGTATCAATTTTAATTTACTTTCTTCTTATTCTCGTTCAATGTTTTGTTATATAGACTGAACTCTTGCACAGCTTGTCTGTAAAAAAATAATTCTCATCGAATCCTATTTTCATGTATTGATCAAAAAAACACAAAACACTGAGATTTTTTCTATTGTGACCAACAACAGAAAAACCAACAACGAAAAAAACTCAGAGTTTCACTTCAATATGCGTATTTTACCCATGGAAGAGAGCGCTTCCTAAAAATAACATGCAACCAATAAACACCATTTTTGAAAGCATATGGATTTTCTCAGCGAATCATTTTAGCTTGCCTTGAAAGTCTTTCTGACAATCTTGAACAAATGTTTCAACATGAAACAACCTCATTTAGATCCATGTAGAGCAGCACTCAGAATAAGAAAATTATAATACCTGCTTGTAGATGGGTTTGTATTCGAAGTTTCTTCTTAGTTTTATAATTCAAAGAAGTCAATAACATATCTTATCAGAGGCTAGATAGAAGAAGACAAACATTCATATTTTGTGAAACTTCTCTTGTATACTTTCTGCGAAGTTTAAAAAGAAGAATGAAAATTGTATAATTAGCAGGATTCGTCTGATATGAGTGTGGGGTGTGAGTGCGGTGCGGGTGTGAGTGTGGTGCGTGTGTGTGGGTGTGAGTATGGTGCGTGGATGTGGGTCTGGATGGGGTGTTAGGTGTGAGTGGTGGAGTAGGGTGTGGGCGTGGGGTGTGGGGTGTGGATGGTACAGTGGAATGTGGGTGTGGGTATTAAAATAATATGCAAAAGCACACTCCACATCCACACCCGCTCACACCCACCCACACCGACACCCTTAATTACTAGCATTAGTAATCAGTTTGTTCTCCCTTGACCTTTTGCATGATTTGTTATCGAACACTGTACTTATCTTCGAAAGTCGTTTTCTAAAACGTTTCATAGTTGACAAAGCATAAAGAATAAAAAGACGATGTATAAGTAAAAGAACATAAAATGCATCGTATGTTTGCATGTATTTCGACTTCTTAGGAAGAGAACGGGAAAGAAAAGGTAAATATCTCTGAGTACGCCCAAATCTATGCATACGATTAAAAATAACAAGACCTATATTCAGTATGGATACGAAAACATAACTTTTCATCTCTCTTGCCTCAGTTCTACTGATTTGTCAAAATTATGATATTCTTTTTCTGTCATTTGTCATAATATTAACTTCCGCAAGATATGTAAAACTCATTTGAACAAAATCTAAGCATTGCATTTTGTAGGGTGAAACTTAATCTATCTTTTGAGATATTATTCAATTCGATTCAGTTGACTTTTACGATGAAAAATAATCACATACTGACCATAGAAGAAAACATCAAAACTCGATTACTATTTTCAAAGCTCCATTGAGGCACATTCAATGTTTATTTCACACTCACTGGTGTGCGATTCGACTTTTATTTCCTAAAAGTCCTGTAATTTTTTTTTAATCCTATATTTTTTTCTATTTTACCTGTGTGTTGCCCAAAAAGTAGAAAACGCTCAGAAATTTGTGAATTCTATTCCGTAATGATTTTATTCTCAAAATAAACTTTATACAATATATAGTTAAATTTCTAGGCTCGTTATATTATAGAAGAAATTTTTTCACATAAGTAAGTTCTATATGAGTCTACTTCTGCTATGGAACAATAGTAAAAATTATTGATGCCCTATATGCTATTAGACGCTTAAGATAAATTAATGTTTTGCAAATATTCTTTCATTCTTTCATATTCGCGTATGTTTTATATAAATATATATATATATAAGTAGCCAAAAAATATTCGAATGACTGAATTGTTTTCAATATTTTTTTGAGTTGCATAATAGGAACAAAAGATAGAATTTTTCCTTGCCGTCAACAATTAGTCCTTATTCTCTACTTTGTTCTCTATAGAAATCAGTAACCTTAATTATTGCTCCAAATGTTCGGATGCCTTCTCTTCTTGTGAAGCTAAAGTCTATTTCTCGAGTCGTGTAAAACGAGTCTTTCTATCTTTCATGCGTAGATAAATGTTTATTTTTCGGACAAACAGTACACATTGATTCAAAATAGTCAAATGACTAATATTTTACAAGAACTATAGAATATAAGGATATGTAAGAACTAATTGTTCAAATGATACTTTTGCTTTCGTAACTCGTATTGACAATATCCGTACAGAAACGCTCAGATTATTTGCTGATAAGATAGAGATATGCTCATGCTATGCACTGATGGTAGCCAAAATATTTTATTCTTTCTTCTAACTGCACAAATTAAGGAATACAAACTAGAACAAATAAGTGTCTCGATACTTTCTGATCACTTGTATGGAGGTATCCAATGATAAATAGCTGAATATTACATTTAGAAATCTATTAATAAAAAAGTACGATTTCTTCTATTTAAAGTTGAAGTTGAAATATTGCAGATAAAATATCAAACATTTATTGCATTTCCTTTCCTAAGAAAATATTCGAAATTTTGAGAAATTCATGTATCCTGCATATGTAACGCTGATTTTAATACGAAACCAGTAAACACATGATTAAAACATAAAGATTCACACTTCTAACGTTCACATGTATTTTATATCAAAGCATTAATATTAACTGCGATTATCAAGTTGAGCAGCTGTTCAATAACAAAAATATTCATAAATACAGATAAAATATGAAGGCAACATAATATAATCAATATACTGCTCTGTAAATTGTAGCTGATATCTCTTACAATTTTTCTTTTGAAAATGTTTTTAATTAGAGGACAACTGTGTGTTGCTTTATAGATGAGATATAACTTCGAAATCACAATAAACAAATGCCATGTATTTGGTAGAAGAAAAACGCCGAAAGTAAAAAAAAAACGTTGAAAGAAAACATATCGAGAGTACTAATAATGCTGCTTCAGCACACCTTTCAGCAACATTTCGTGAAGAATATAAAGTAGCATTTGTATCTGGCACTTAAACATGAATAGTGCGTGCTCGAATGACATTAGTAGCATTTTCGATATATTTGTTTTCGGCATTTTTTTCGTTAAACCAAATTCAAACATGCCCAGTAAACCTTTATAAATTTTCTTTGCTTGATTAGAAGTTATGAATAGATCTTTCTTTAAACCTTTACCCCCCCTTGGTCGCTGGAGTGACCATTTGTAGAACGACTGCGGAAAAGAAAGGGAGCATCGGGTTAAAAAACGCTAAGCACCTTTTTTGTAGTAAACTTCATGGGCTATCCATTGGTAGAAAGACTGTTCCTTTTGATTGCTCCGTCTTTGAAATAAAGGGTCTAAAAAATCGAAAATTTTGAAAAAATGAAAAAAATTGAAATTTTTTAAGTAAAATACTTTCTACTCGCAGCCAATAGAGATCTCATGGAATTTCTATGTGATATTAATTGATAAAGAAGTTCTTTGATAAATAAAATATATTTCAAAATTTTAGTGATAACTCAGCGAATATGACATACAAAGAAATATGATTGACCATGTAGCCACCAATTGACCTATGGGGCGAAATCAAGAGCACAGTTAATACATATATTAGATACCTCGACTCATGAGAAGTCGAAACTCTATTTATGATGAATTCAATTTGATGAGAGGTTATTAAATGGCCAAGAATAAAATTGGCTTTAATTTGAAAAAACATCTAAAAAACGCATGTATTCTTTGGTGCTCATTTTTATGGGTTTATTTCTCGTCTTTTTTCCATTATTCTAATAGCGCGAGATAGATGTTCCTTCTGTCCACTCAATATTGTGGTCAAAGAATAAAAATCAACTCTTACGGTGTAGTTCAATTTTCTTTCCCTACCCCATGATTTCTGGATAAATCAAATCGTCCTACTCTTGGAGCAGAACATTCGATGGATCAGATTATGCCATTTGCATACTAGCGAGGGTAGTACTGTATTAATAAAGTTATTTTATCAGTGGCTCTTCTGAAACCTCCATGGGGGGTAAAGGGTTAATTTACTGACGGCTGATAAGAAGTATTTTTAACGTTTGCATAAGTACTAGTATTTGAAGCGACTATTTTTTTTTGTATATAAACAAGTAAATAATCACCATCTTTTAGTTCCTACTAGCGATACCTGCTTCTGACTACTACACAGATAAAGAGGTACTTCACGGGTGGGTGTGGGTATGGATATGGTGTGGGTGTGGGTGTGGGTGGGTATGGATACGGTGTGGGTGTGGGTATGGATATGGTGTGGGTGTGGGTGTCGACGGGTGTGGGTATGGATATGATGTTGGTGTGGGTGTGAGACCCTGCTTGGCTAATACAATAAAGTGATAGTTCAAGTCAGAAAAGTGGAGCATTAGAATGTTCTCGTATTATATTACCGAAAACAAGAATACTAGATCATGACAACAATATATATAAATTGTTGTGATAATCAATCAAACAACCCATAGCACATGTAATTGCATCGATGTTCTGTATGGTATCGAGTCTATGGGCTTTTTTATTTCAAACTGAATTCTAAAATCAAAAAAACCGCACCAACTTCTTCCGAATCAAACTTTTCTCGTTTGATACTACGTAGTCCCACTAAAAACCCTTAGTCCCCCCTAGTCCTGCAAAGTCCCCCTTAGTCCCCCCTAGTCCTGCAAAGTCCCCCTTAGTCCCCCCCACAAAAAGCTTAGTCCCCGCTTAGTCCCTTGTGCAGGGGACTAAAGCCTATAGTACACAAAGCCACAAGCACACCCTCACCCTCACTCGCGCGCCCACACCCGCACCATGGGTGTGGGTGTGTGTGTGGGTCCCAGACCAACACCCACACCCTCAGTC